CAAATGCAAGGAAGTGGGAGACAAGCCAGCCGAAAACCCCACCACAACCATTCAGCTTGGGAGACAAATGAAAAGAACTGGGAGACAAATGAAAAGAAGTGGGAGACAAATGAAAGGAAGTGGGAGACAAGCCAGCCGGGAACCCGACCACAAGCACCCAGCCTGGGAGACAAATGAAAAGAACTGGGAGACAAGTGAAAAGAAGTGGGAGACAAATGAAAGGAAGCCTGGGAGACAAATGAAAAGCACTGGGAGACAAATGAAGGAAGTGGGAGACAAGCCGGCCGGGAACCCGACCAGACCATCCAGCACCAAGGCAACCATTCTTTAAAGCATTGAGAACCCCTAACAGTATACTGTTTGGGGAAAAAGAACACTGTCGTCAAGTAGGACATCATCTGGGCAAGAGAAACATTCCTTCAGCAGGATAGTGGTCCTAAAGCAACGGAGAATAACGAGCTAGCTCACATACAAGCATGCCTCCAATCACCTCTATGTGTTTCTATATGACCTTTCACTGTCAGGTAGTGAAGCCAGCACGTCCTGATGATGATGCCAAGGACCAGCATCATCACTGTGCTCAAGGCAAAAGCAGCCAGGATGAGTCCATCATCTTCAAAAAGGTCTCTTGCATAGTCCTTGTCCCACTCCATCCACTCCCCAGCTACTGCCACCATGCCAGCCAGCTCCAAGTACCTGCAAAACAATGACTGCATACTGAAACCATTGCCGTAAGATTCCTCTTGCCTGATAGTGTAATAGATGATTGGCGGGATGGTGATCACCGTGTCTTTCTCCAGGATAGGCCTCCGAACGGGAGCCGGACTCAAACTCAAGCAGTTTGTAGGCTCTTTGCAAAATCCTCCTGCTGCTAAGTCAGCTAAGTGGCGCCATCCGGCAGAAAAGAACAGAGGGGATGACATAGAAGAAGTTTTGGCCTAGCTTCGAGAATGTACAATTTGGAGGGTTTGCAAGACCGACTGCACATTGCCATGCTACAACGGCTGTTCAATTCTCACGGCAATGGACTGAGTGCGTGACGGACAAATGCAAAGCGTTCAACCGGAGCAAACTGGCCCACTCGGCACTGATAGAAAATGGTGAAGATGGACATGATAACTCCATCCGCTGCAATGACGACAAACATACCATATGGTCGTGTTACTGTTTGGAACAGAGCGAGTGATGTTGCACGAGACGTAATTTCGGCCACGCGAAAGAAAAACACCACTCCGAATCGCGCGTTGAAGGATTTGCAGAAACCGGGCACCTTCACTAGCATTCTGCCTCCTTGGAACATGTCAATTGTGCTGAAGGCATAGCCAATTGAAACAAAGGATGAGAAGACGGAGAAGTAGAGCTGCGCCTTTTGATCCCAAGTCAAACGGCTTGTGAAAACCACTGCATAGGTCTGAATGAAGGAGGAGATGGAGGATTCCAGGATGGCCTCTGCTAGTGTGGAAACAAAGAGGAAGGGATGTAGGCTGCCACGAAACAAGGATAGGATGGCCAAGTAGGTCACATGCTGTCCAAGCAAAGGGAGTGTGAGCCCAGCAAAAAAGATCTCCGTGTTGGTGATCTTTGAGCCAGGGCTGGTAATCACATTGTAAAACTCGTAGGCAGTCCACAGAAGACCCAGGAAAACACCCAGGAGGTTCAGGGTGAAGAACCAAGGCTGATGCTCTTGCAAGAAGATCTTCATCGCTTCGATGTCCATCCAAAGATCCACCGTGTATCGAAGCCACATCATGACTACCACTTGAAAGCAGAAGACCGTTGACCGCCGCATGCGCCAACACCTGAAGAAACACAGCAAAACACCAAACACATACAGTAGGTAGGCACCATTCTAAAGCCATCCAAGGTAATGATCTGAAACCCTGTCCTGAGAACGAATTTCGTTCCGACCTGAGCTCAGTGTCTAGAGTCTAGAGAAAAGGTCAGCAACCAACTGCCTGACTGTATATATCCACAACCAAACTCTTTTGGATCAAGTCACCGTTCGCAAAGAATAGAGTTTCTTAAGCTCATTCATGGACTCCTCATCAGTCCTTGGAGTGAAAAGAAACCCAAAAAGCAACGACCATCCCGTCTCCTCAACTAATAATTGCAGTGGCAGGAAGGCTTCCTGGACCGGCCTGTATTTTGCCCGAGCCTCCACTGCTTGAAGTATGCATGCCCGTAGGCAAGTCTCAAAGCTGCCACAGCACCTCCCAGCTTCGGCCAGTCAGTGCTGAAGTTATTTATAGCCCGCTACTGAGTAGACACGCTACTATCAATAGGAACCTCCTAGCTATGCTTGGTTCCTAGATTTCTGGGGAAACTTAAAAGAGCAGTTACCGCGCCTCCTGCACCCAGAGCCAAAGGGCAGAAGAGTTCGACCATCTGGGACGTTCGCATGCTATGACCTCAAAGCTGCTCCTCTGGAAACCGCAAGTCGGAACACGTCAAAAGCAATGCACCGGATGCTATGTCTTGTAGCTGTCCAGTTCTCGACACTGTCAAGGGCTGGGCAGTAGAAGCTTTCCACAAGCCGCATGAGGTGCATAGCATCCACGCCCAAATGCCGAATTGGCTTGATGGTGTGGCACTCCCTGCAGACAAGCTGAAGCTTTGAAAATCATGCGCGAGCCAACATCATGAGTACTGGTTGACCTGAGGTGTTTTTTCCACAGATCCAAAATCGACAGTTGGCCTGAAGCTGCTTGCGTGAGTTCTTGACCCCCAACTTCACCCCCACGGTTGTTACAGCTATCGTCTGCGTCAAAAACTCAGAGCCGAGACACGCAGACATCAGGATACGTGGCTCGAGATACAAACCAAAATAGCCTGCCTCAGTTCCACTCAAGCCCTCTCCAACTTGCCACAATCTCATGTGTTCAAGCAAACGTGGATCTGGGAAAAGGATCATCTTGAGCACTGCTGAACACAACCAACATCATGATGCTTTATCAAACAAAAGCCCTCCCTCAGAGCAAAAGCTCTTTGCAGGCATGCTGCAGCAGCACCTGCGCCTGCACCCAGCAGCATACAAAAGCCCGCCAGGCATATGCCAGCTATAGTACGAGGCCTTGGCGTTCCCAACTTATGTGAAGTTTTTGATGCAAGGCAATCTACTTCAAAACAGCTCGGTGAAGCATGTCTTTGCCAACTTACAAATGAATACTGAATCAAAAGAAGGCAAGTTCTGATATCTCTTCATTGCTTCACAAGGCATCTCTGATTTGACAAATGTGCTTGGAGAGCTTTGGGGGAACCAATGTGACATTTGAGGGACGGCCGCAGAAGTGGGTCACTGCGAACTTCGGCACGTTCTTTGAAGAGCTCGATCTCGGTGTCCATGGTTGACCTTCAGACAAGCTAGATATGTGAATTGAATATCCCAAGAACTGCACACCCGACCTAGCGCTTGACCCATCGAGCAAAACCTACTGATGGTAGTGCTCGTGAATGACCGACCCAGCAGTTTACAGTCTCATGCCCACATCGCATTCTGGGCCTTCTCCTCCTTCCAGGTGTTGAAGGATCTGTCATGCTGTCCAAACTGCTCATCATGCTGCCCATCATACTGTCCAGCTTACTCATAGTATCCAGCTTGCTCTCCATACCTTCATCATCATCATCTTCAAATGTATCAACAGTGCTTGCAAGCAGCGGCTTTCCACCTTAGCCCACATGGTTTGTCTCTCGGAAGGGCAAACCCACCATCCCCCGAAAGGCCTTCCTTTTCCAACCGCTTTGGGTCCTAGTACTACACGTACTTGAAAGCATGCCTGCTCCAATTCAACCACGCAGCTGTCATGGAATCCTGCTTGTTCTCCCTGCATCACCCGAACGTATCCATGGGAAGCTTCATCACCGAACAGACCAAATCCTTCAGTTGCCCGACAACGACGTGCAAGCTGCAAGCACATATCACAGGATCCAGCAAATTGTTGATGTCATTGCGTCATTGCGTTATATAGTTAACACCATGAATATGTTTGTGGGGTTACAAGTTACAGCTACAACATGTGTATACACTTGTCGGTTGGGGGAAGACTGTCCGCCCACTTGGTTGTTTTGCGGTCAGAGCTGCTGTCAAGGCGTGTCAAGCAAGCTGTGCATCCTTGGTTTTTCCAGTACTGCCGTCAAACGCTTGGGCCAACCCGCTGAATTCCCAGCCTGATTCTTCTTCAGTCTCAGCCATAAAGCTGTGGTGATATCATGCAAGGCAAGTGGATTGTTTTTTCCCTCGTCTGAAACCAAATATCCATGATGTGCGATGCAGACTCAACAGTTGAAACATCGAGTTGCTTTATGATTTCAATCCGTTGGTGGTGTTGCTGCTACCATGGCTGCAAGTGCCTCAATTTGGGATGTACTTCATGAGCCTCTGTTACTCGGTCTTGCTGATGAACCACAAAGCTGTAAATCAGTCATGTGAACACGGTTGACCTTTTCAACTTACATTCCAACACTGTGCAGTGATTTGGATCGGACTCACCAGATCTAACCTCAGAACCCCCAAAATAGCAAAAATATTTGTGGGCAGCATGACACCGACACCCACGCTCCAAATCGCGCACTGCCAGAAGCATCTGGCAGCAGGAGCAGCAGCAGCAGCAGCAGCGTGCAGGGGCACCAGCACACAGGCTCCAAAGCGGACGCTCCAACATCTGGCAGCAACTCTTATGCAGCAACACCAACATCCAGGCTCCAATGCGCACACGGCCATACACATCTGGCGGCGCACTGCAATGGTGCCAGCACCCAGGCTCCAAAGTGCACAGAGCCATCGACATCTCGCAGCAACCTGCAGCAGCACTCTGCGGCAGCACCATGCAGCAGCACCAGCACCCAAGTTCCAAAGCGAAAGAGAATACAAACTGACGACGAAGCAGACTGTGAGCACTTGGACCGACAACGCTTTGGATTTTTTTCGACGACAGTTACCACATGGCCACCTGGCAGCGGCGCCATGCTTTGGAGCACACAGGCACCTCTACCCATTTTTCAAAGCAAGAACCCCAACAGCTCTCGCGATCTGAGGAAAATGTTCGCACTACCTTCACATAGGATCGGCGCTTGTGGGAACGAAACAAAATCATGAAGATCAACAGTTGCCTACTGACCACAAGAAGTGCAGCATGTTTTCTGGACGAAAAACCATTGTTCATTTCGATTTGCGCATGATCTTGACGCAAGATTGAAAGACCCACCGAATCACAAATACGATGAAAAAACGGTGATACCCGAAGGCAAGTCTTGGAACCACAGCAAGCGGAACTCCTTCAATCCGAGGAACTCTTTGCCAAACAGCTAATTGTTGTCCATTATGATTGTACTGGTTGCTCCTTAAGGACTTTCCCGTTCTTTTTTCTGCACGTTTTGCGCCACATTTACATTTCTTTCCAAGGTTGGCTCTCGTAGCTACGGTGGTCCGCACACAATCCCTTTTCCTCAGTCATCTTGCCAGTATGGTCTTCAACCTGCCATGTCCAGCAGGATAATTGCGTTGGGTTACCTGCATCAGCAGGCCTGACACAATCAGAC